AACCATTCTTATTCAAGTAAACAATTGGCTTCAAAGAATGATATACACCAAGACACTCCCTCTGAGGAACCGTAAACAGCTTAGTCCATGATTCCTTCACCCCATACTCCTTCATGATCCACACATCAGTCCGAACCCTACGATAAGCTACCCGAACCATAAGGCACCCATCAATGACCCCTAAATTAGCAGTATAATTCAGGCACCCATCAATGACCCCTAAATTAGCAGTATAATTCGAAGTCACTTGATCATACTTAGGTTGTGGCACAACCTTGTATTTTTTCCGTCCCAATATCAAATGCAACAAGCACAATCACCCCATCTGACACTGGTTTTCGAACATAAAACCAATGCAAACACCCATTCAAATAAACTCCCCCAGAAATATTGCTATTACCAATGTAATATTTATTAGAATATTCCCCAACTTTTTTCCAAGAATTAGACTTCAAACTATATAATTTCACTTCACTAACATGATCATCACTATTATCAGCAAACATTTGAATAACACGCACCAATTTATAATCATCATTCAATTTATCATACCCAAAACCATAAACTGCCCTATTAAGTTCTTTAAACCCAGGAATTTCAACAGGAGAAACAGGTAATACCCGGTATTTTCTCGTTGCTGGGTTCCAAATAAACGCAGCAATTCCATCAGCCAAACACAGCAATCCATTGCAAGAACCCGCAATCTCTGTTTCAAAAGAATTGCAATCAAAGGGGCAATTGATTAATGTGGCACGATTCAAAGAAGGGTAATCGACGGAGTAAAGAAAAGGGTCTTTGTCGGTGGAATTGGGACTACCACCATATAAGAAAATGTCGTTGATTAAGAGGGTTTGATGAGTAGGGTTTTGCAAAGAGTTTTTGAGATGAAGATTGATGAAATATTGTTCGTCGATCAAAGAACGCCATGATTTTGCGACACAACGGAAGCGTAGAAGAGATTTGACTGGAAGTTTTGAGAGGATTATGGTGATTAATGGCGTCGGAAGATCCGCCATTGTTGTGCCTTGCATGCAACTATGGAACACTCCAGGGTTTGAATTCCAAGGAAAATGATACGACTCGATTGAGGGTTTGTAAACTTCTAAGTTCTAACCCCACGATTCACTTGTGTAAGTTGTGTTAAATGTGATCATTTGGGCTAAGCTGGGTCTTAACATCAAATGTCATTCCTGGATTCGTAAAAAAGTGGTGGGTTATCGGGTTGAAACGGACTTATCAAATTAAATTGGGCTTTTTGGGCTGACTTTGGGTTGTAAACTAAATAAATGATTTTGTTTACCTTGTCCAAACTTGTCCTATTTTTGAGTCGAGCTAGCAGGATGGGTCATAGACTCATAATTGATCACCGCTAGCTTGTGTAAGTTGCGTATGTTCTCTCCATGATATTTTGTTAGAATTAAATATTTTGCTGAATTACACCTAGCTCACTTCACCTTAAAATAAAAGAGGTTAAACTATTGGGTTGTTTGGTGATAACTTTTTCTACGGCGGCAATTGCCTTTTGGATGTCGTCAAATAATCAAAGTATTGGCTTCCTTGAGATTTTTTGCCCAGGTCAGCAAGATTTCCCCAAATGAATCAGACGCAGCTAGGTTCAGAGCATCCTCACATCCACTTCTCATCCATAGCAGACTGGTGGTCGATTTTGGTGAGTATACAGCAAAGATTTATGGGGACACAACTCCTTCTAAAGAGTCTGCTGGTAGAACTGTGTGGCAGCCCCCCCCCCCGGCATCATCAAGATTAATGTAGATGCGTCCATTTCTGGAGAAGGTTGAGTGGGACTTGGTGTGATTGCTCAAGATAGCATGGGTCAAGTGATGTTCTCGGCAGTCAGCAGAGCTAGAGCTCGATGGGCTCGCTGATTGCAGAGAGTAAGGCTGCTCTTTTTGGTCTAAAGAAGGCGAAGGAACATGGCTACAATGATGTGATCTTAGAGGCTGACTCTTTGCAATTAGTTTCCAAGATTAAGAAGAATTCTTTCTCCTTGGCAGCGGTGGATGGGATTCTTGAAGATATAGCGGCTGTTAGCTCGAATTTTACTTCCATTTTATGGTCTCATGTTAAACGTGAGGGTAACTTCGTTGCTCATCACCTAGCTAGGTTAGTGCCGTTTGGTCGTGAACAGTTGTGAGAATATCTTGTCCCGGATGAGATATCTCCGTATGTACTTTTGGATAACCTTTCATTGAATTAATGCACTAACCGTTTTCTTTCAAAAAAAAAGTATGTGTTGTATTTGCATTGACCTTTTTGTTGGCTACCAACTTTTCCGTCAAAAGCCAAAGTCCGGTTAGACTAGGTTTTTATTTTGTAGGGGGTTTGCTTTTAATGTTTACGGAGACTTTTCAATCCTAACAACCAATTACCAAACATAATTATTAAAAATCCAACAGTCAAACTTCTAACATTAATGGCTAGACAAACCGTTGATTACATCGGCTAAGAAAAATAGTCAGCAACCAATTGACAAACAAGATTTATACTTAGGGAATATATATTCTGACCACAAGTGTCATGTATCCTCCTTTCCTTTATTTTTTTCTTTGTCTAATTTCTTTATTTTTTTCCAAACAAGAAAATAAAATAATCTTGTTTTCAATTTACTCTAAGTATATAATGTTTATTTCATATCCATTGATTCAATAACATATCTAGGTGCATTTTAATGGTTACTCCGTCCTCTTCCTTATAACTAACTCTTCATTTTTCTTAAGAGAAAAGCATAAACTAAAAAAAACATATTTTAAATAAAAGAATACTTTTTTTTTTTCCACAATTTTACTGGTAGTATTAATATATTAGCTTTGTGCGCTACACGAGATGAAAATAGTATAGTGCACCCAGAAAGAACATTAGACATATTTTAAAGAACATGGGCAAAAAAAAACATGTTAGTGTTTGAAAAAGAACATACTTGTGTTTGACAAAAGAACATGTTTGTATTTGACAAGAACATAAAGTCTTTACAAAAAGAACATGTTATTTTTCATGGTTACTTGGGTGGTTGAACGTGTTTGAAAAAGAACATTATATTTGACAAAAAAGAACATGTTCGTGTTTTACAAAGATATAGGTGATCATTGGGTGGACCGGGCCAAGGTTAAAAAATCAGCTCACTTCTCGAGTCGGGCCAAGTTTTGGGCTGAAGTTTTTGTGCCCAAACCTGTCCAAAATGGTCCGGCCGTGCGGGCTTTCCGGGTTGAGTAAAAATAAATCAACTAAAATGCATAAAAACGTAATCCCAAACCCGCCCAAAAAATTAAATTTACGGGCCGGGTTCGACCCGATTTGGGGGCGAAAAAATTCTGCCCAAAACCCGTCTAAAATCAAGCCGGGTCGGTCTAACTTTGATCACCTCTAGCCAAAGAACATAAAGTCTTTACAAAAAGAACATGATAATACAGTAAAGAACATGTTCTTTTTTTTAGTTACTCGGGTGTTTGATTTTTTTTTTTTAAATGTACATACATTAAATAACATATTGTATAATATAAAGAACGTATAGTTCAAACTCAAAGAACATAATAATCAAATTTAAAGAACATATTATGCTCACGTTCTTTATAAATATCTATAATGTTCTTTTTTTTCGCCCATGTTCTTTTAAATATACCTAATGTTTTTTCCGGATGCACCAACCATACATTATAGAGGTATTTTCTTTCCTTTTCAAAATGCATTTTTGCAAGACTAAATAAAAGATCAATTATCACTAAAAAGCGTTGATAAATGTTTAAATATTGTATATAATTCACAAAATTGAAGTTGCGAAATTTGTATGAAGAATCATGTAATAAAATTAAACTTTCATTAATGTAATCAAATTTTCACATTAATCAACTACGTACTTCGTATAATCATCCACATATATATATATATATATATATATATATATATATATATATATATATATATATATATATATATTACTACTTGCATTGGAACTACATAGTACATAAGAACATAACATAAACCAAGAATATTCAACATAACAGTTTAAAACCAAAGAAACTGAACATAATCAACATATATAAAACTGCTAGAATTTAATTCTTCTTAGGGACGTGTTCTTCGATCAGTGACCTTTGATCTTTAGTCTTCTCTTTTATCTTCATCAATGTCTTTCTTTGGACTCGACTCGACTTTTTTCACTTCCAGTGTACCAAGATTGTCAAAGTCAGTCGTAACCCTCTAACTCGGTGCAATTGTTCCATTCATCTAAGCTGAAACTGACCGACTGACCGCGTAACGAAATTTGTTATAACACGCGTTCTAGGCTAGAACGTTTTACTACTCTTGGTTTATGCTCTTTCTTCACCTCCAACAAATTTATCTTCACCCTCGCATTGTCACCATCACGATCATTGTTGCCATGGCGATGTTGGAAATCAGAGGATTTAGGACTCATGGTTGAAGGTTACGAATGAACTAAATCTTGGTACCAACAAATTAAAGACAAGATTTATTGATGGAAAAAAAAAACAAATAAAGACTTGGAGCTCAAGAATGCCTCTAACAATTTAAAGTAATTTGGAATAATACAAGTTAATAGTTAGGAGTGTTTATAAAGGGGTGCAAAAGTGGTGTACTACGTACAGTAATCACCAAGAAATCCTAACCAAATCTAATACTTCGTATAAAATATTTTAACCTACATTATAGAAAGTTTTATTTATTTTTCTGAGAAAAATATAAAATGCTTAAAAAAAAAAAAAAAAAAAAGAAGAGTCAAACGGAGTATTATTGTATTAAGGATACATGTGCTTTCCTCGAAAAAAAAAAAAAAAAAAAAAAAAGAGATAACATTGCTTAATTACTTCATTGCACGATACAGAGTATAGTGTGTAGACTTGAAAAAAGCTACTAGTAATTAGTTTGGTTTTGATGTAATAAAGGGTATTTTGAGGAATATTGTTGTCAGATTTATATAAGTTTTGGAAATCTGATTAAGTTTAGACAAGAAAAAATATATGAAGTACATTGCAAGTAGTAATTGCCAAGATTTAATAACATACTGAGTGTATTATATATGCATAACACTCAAAACACAATATCATATGATTCCACATTACAACCAGTTGATCAAATCAATATAAAAGTCAAAATGGTTCGAAACTGCAAAAGCAAAAAGAAAATAAAATTGCATAGTCACAAAGTCTGCTTGACTGAACACACACTTGGTCGTCGAGGACAAAAGACAGAGAGCAGGACCAGCATTTTCACATCTAACATATCTCAACAGTCAATTAACAATATGGCTGCAAGTTAATCAAAACACAGTCTAAGCAGAAGAAATCAGAAATGCAAATGAATATTTCACAGAGCTGTTCTTCAAGTATACTTGGACCATAAACACATAAAATGCTTTAGTGTTTAGTTGTTTACCATCCCTTTTTGAGATGTAATGAACAAAAGTGTAATGGTAAGCATGAAATCATAGAGGTTATATAATCGGAGGGTTAAGAGAGATGTAGAAGTATCTCGTAGGGGTAAATTGGTCATTTCATACAGGATTTAAATTTTGCCTTTTAGATTCAGTGGTACAAAATACACTTTCAGTGGTACAAAATATAATTTTAGTGGTATTTAAAAAAAGGTTCAAATGTCTAATTAGACTGCCAAATAATATCATTACAGCTCAGTGGTACAAAATACACTCTCAGTGGTACTCAATGTGGTTTTAGTGGTACTTATAAAAATTCTCAGTGATACAAAATATACTCTCAGTAGTTGTGGTCCCAGTTTTTTTTGTCGTTTTTGCACGTGAAACCATTTCTGAAAATTTTTTGTGGGGCCCACACCACATTTTTCACTCTTCCTATCTCTCTCCTCCTTTCTCTCTCTTCTTTTTACTTTTATGTTATTTTAATGGTTGTGAGACACTTATATTAGTCTCACAACACTCTATTTGTACTTCCTCGAAATCATATACTAGTCGAAAGTTGGCTGTAAATAGCAGCTAAAAAAGATAGGATGCAGTTCAAACCTCAAGATTTCCAAGTTTAATTTCATCAGTGTATGCGCGAACTCAAAGTTTAAGTTTAAATCCTTTGGATAAGAAACCATCCAAGTCATGCCTGCAAAAATCAAGAGTATCAAAAGGAGAAAATCCGAAAATTCCAACACTGCGTTGAATAAGAAACTAACATAAATAGAGCAAAATTAGTCACAAATCACAGTGGAACATATTCTTTCCAATATTCTTTTTAAGAAAAAAAAATAAAATTGCTACACTTACCCTGTATAACCTTGAATAAAAAAAATCCAAAACAAATAAAAGATTTTCAGGAATCAAAAGTAGACAACTAAAGCATGTAATAGCACAGGATGAATGGATGATGCGTTTGTAATTTGTCGTCTAAATATCAAAAAGTATAATATTTTTGAGAGATCTTTATTCATAACCCATTGAGAGATAGAGATACACATAGCAAAACCATTTTCAAAGATCCATACGCAAAAAATTTGATAACCTTCTTCTTTGCATCTTTACTGCCAAAAACAATACTCTACTAGAATGAGTAAAGGTAGCACAACAAAGAAAATTAACTCTATCATAGAAATTGACCTAAAGGAAACGATACGCACAAAAACAATGAAGAACAATATACTGGTGTAATCAACAAAACCGTGTTGTAAGAGAAAACATCAATATATAAATATGCTACCTAGTCTAGTTCTTATGGCTGAAATTCTCTCTTCCAAACAATTCTACGCATCTCTCAAAATAGACACCTATACTTTCAGGATCAAGTAGACTTCCAAAAGACCTCTGTTCCAAATGAATTTGGTAGGTGACATGTTATAATGCCTAATTGTCTTCTTTTGCAAATTATACTAAATAAACTTTTTTATAATCTAATTCCATTTTTAGAGTAAACCAAATCACTAACGGTTACTCAAAGAATTTAATTGGCCTTGGGTGATACCTTTTGAGCCCATGACTTCCAAAGGAGCATAATAGCTTAAGGAAAGAACTCCATATCAACCAAGGCAATCACAAATAGATATATAACAAATTTAGCAAGAGAACTATAACATATTCAAAGGCCATAACCTAACTACTTAACTAATCTATCGCCACATATAGAGAGAAGACGACTCATCCAACATTACCATAATAATGAGAAAAGAGGTTTAATCCAACATACCATGATAGTGCAATAAAGGTACAAGCTGATAATGCAATAAAGGTACAAGTTGATAATGCAACAGGACCAGAAATAATAATGGTCACAAGACTCACAACAATGTTATTATGCAAAACAACCGCGCATCAAATGAGATAGAATCATAGGAAAAATTCATTAACCTACAAATATAAGAAGGCAGAGAAGTACAACATATTATGATACCTCTTCTTGTTAACAGGCTTCTTTTTCTTAGGACTATCAAGCGGAATAAGGCTTTCCACCAGCAGTGCTGAGGCAAGCGACCAAGGAAGACCACGGGTGTTCACATCCTTAAATATTTGCTGCTTCACATCAAACCACACAAACTCCTTAAAGTCTTTCTCAAAGAGCAACTCCTTAGAACCATTCTTCTTCAAGTAAACAATTGGCTTCAAACATGAAAAGAAACCAATATTCTCCCTCTGTGGAATCGAAAACCACTTAGTCCATGATTCTTTCACTCCATACTCCTTCATGATCCACACATCAAGCCGATTGTTCGGATAGAATACCCGAATCGAAATACACCCATAAATAACCCCCACATTAGAATAGTAATCCATTTTCAACTCATTATATTCAGGTATTGGCAAAACTCTGTGTTCTTCAGTCCCAATATCGAGTGCAACAAGCACATCCACTGCTTTTGATATTGGTTTTTTAACCACCAACCAATGCAAACACCCATTTAGAAAAACCCCTTCACTAAACAAACCAACACCAATGTAATAATTATATGGAAATTCCCTATTAATTGGGCTAACAGTTCTCCAAGTATTAGTCTTCAAACTATATACCTTCATTTCACTAATATGATCATCACTATTTTCAGGAAATATTTCAATAATTCGCACCAATTTATGATCATCATTCTTATAATCATACCCAAAACCAAAAAATTACTCTATTACGTCCTCTAGGAACATACCCAGGAATTTCGACAGGCGTAACGGGCAAAACCCGGTGTTTCCTCGTCGCCGGATTGAAGATGTACGCCGCAATTCCATCAGCCAAACACAGCAATCCGTCGCAAGAACCCACAATTTGTGTTTCAGCAGAATCGCAATCAAAGGGGCAATTAATCAATGTAGCGCGCTTTAAAGTGGGGTAATCAAGGGAGTAAAGAAAAGGGTCTTTGCTTGTGAAATTGGTATCTTTTTGCAAGAAAGAATCCTTGATTATGAGGGTTTGATGAGTAGGGTTTTGCGAAGAGTTTTTGAGATGAAGATTGATGAAATGTTGTTCGTCGATCAAAGAACGCCATGATTTTGCGACGCAACGGAAGCGTAGAAGAGATTTAGCAGGAAGTTTTGAGAGGATTATGGTGATTAATGGCGTCGGAAGATCCGCCATTTTTTGTGCAATGGCAAGACTGTAGAAGATTCCAGGGTTTTGAAAATCAAAGGGGGTTTTAAAGGATGAGAAATGAGAATCCCCACGTTTCACTAGTTTGGTAATAAAAACGGTTGATTCTGTTTTGATCTACTACGTACTTGATAATTGAATTCGATCCGATCCAATTCAAATCAATCCAATTCAATCCGATTTGATTATATGATTTTATTTGATCTGATTTGATTGTTTACCTAGATTATCCCCGTGCGATGCACAATTTTGACAAAAAAAAAATTCAGAGCTTAGAATTCTTATATGTATAATGAAACTTTTCATTTTTTTTCATTGAAAGGAGATTTTTTTGAAATGAATACAATTTGAATATTTCAAGAATATTCTAGATGTTTGAATATTAATGTTAAGGAATTGAGGAGAGGGAATAATAGATCTTCAAATCAAAAGAAAGGAATACACTTGCTATTCAATTTACAATACTCCGATTTTCTAGACTAAAGTTGTTGAAAGAATTCACTGGGTTTGTTTACGAAGTATCTCAAAAAAAAATTAAAAAAAAGTATTAAAAATGACATCATCAATTGTTTAAGGCGGGAAAAAAAAATTCATAAGAAAGCGACAGGTGTACATTTTTGAGGAGAAATGATGTCAGCAATGTTTTGTTTTATTAATAGTTAAGGTATGTTCTCTTACGTTGAAATTCAGTTCAGTTCAGCTTAGCTCCTAATTTCCTTCTCTTATAAAATATTCATTTCACTTCAGTTCAGTTCAACTCAGTTCAGTTCAGTTCAATTAAGTTCAGTTCAGCTGAGTTCAGTCTATGAGAACAGGCCCTTAATAGATTTTACCTAATCAGATTTGATTTTATTAATTAACCTGATTGATTTGATTGTATGATTTTACCTGATTTTATGTGTACGATAAGTCGGTAATCTATAATGAAAAAAATGTACGGAGTACTTCATATTGTTTTATTAGATTCTTAATAATGTGTATTTTATTAGGTAATGTTCATAATTTTTTCATTATAAAATTAATAGCATATAATTTTTTCATTCTAAAATTAAAGTATAATTTGCAAATTGCAGCAATTTAAAGTTCGTATTTTACAAATTGCAGCCATTTATTTATTTTATTTTATTTTATTGCAAATTGCATCCCAAAAGTTCGTATAAATTGTAAATTGCAGCCCAATTCAACTTTGTCATCGGTTAACATGTCAAAAAAAAAATCTTCGTTTAAGGTTTTAGGGGCCATTTTAGTTCTTAGGGAACCGAATTGAGCTCGGAATTAGCAAAAAAATAATGTAAGTGTCTCATTTTTACAGTTTCCCACAAATCGTTATATTTTTGTTACAAAAAACGAGGCAACTATGTTATTTTTTGCTAATTTCGAGCTCAATTTGGACTCTTAAGGCCTGAAATGGCCCTTAAAACCTTAACCGAAGACTTTTTGACATGTAAATCGGTGTAAGAGCTGAATTGGGCTGTAATTTACAATTTATACAAACTTTTGGGCTGCAATTTGCAAAAAAAAAAAAAAAAAAAAAAAAAAAAAAAAAAAAAAAAAAAAAACTAAATAGCTGCAATTTGCAAATTTTCCAAAATTAAATATAGCATATAATTTTTTCATTCTACAATCAAATATAGCATATAATTTTTTTCCTGATATAATCTAAAATTATTTTGTTATGAAGTAATTAAAAATAAGATGAATTAAATATGGACTTATATTCCATATATCTATGTCTGGAAAAAAAAATAATTCATATTTCTATACTTGTAGTATTGAATTATTGATAGAATACTCCTTCCATCCCATAATAATTGATACGTTGAAATCTATCTATCTATATATTATACTAAAAGACAAGCGCCTCAATGTGAGGATGACAAATGTCACTTTCTCATTGGCTTATCTTAAGTATTAAATATATCTATATAATTACTGTTTACATATTCAAGCATAGTTATTTTTGTTAAACTTCTAACAATAAAAGCAAGTTTCTATACATGCATAAGATTTTCATGATTTCCTAACATAAATATTGATTTAATTTTTTTTATAATAAATATATATTTTCCAATACTACAAATAATCCATAAAGTCTTTCCAATCTTTATTTATAGTTAAGTTAAAGAATAATAACTAATTTGAAGCAATATGATTAAAGTGGACAATAGGTCGATATTGATAAATAATATATGAATTAGCAATAACCAATCAAAAAAAAAAAAAAAAAAAAAAAAAAAAAAAAAAAAAAACTGAACCAATAACCAATCAAAACAAGACCAATTAGACATTTGACGGAAAAGGGATAGATATAAAATGTATTATAACTATTACTCGTGTTTTAAATTGTAATATTCGTATTAACAATGCTATTACTTATGAATTTTTTTTTAGAAAAACTAACATTTTGATTTAAAAATCGTGCATTGCTCATGTACTATACTAAATATACAACAATCATGTGCAATAATTTATGTTGTTTTATACATAATAATACTTTTAACTATAATAGTATGTGTATATAATATAATATTTTTTATAATATAAAAAAGTATATGTATATAATATAATATTTTATAACACGTGTCCTCCATACCAAGTGTTTGGTTGTTGGTGTAGTGGTGATTGAGACTACACTTGGTAGGGAGGACCTGTGTTCGCTCCCCTGCAACAACAATCGGAAGGGGAGTGGAACCTAATAGCCTAGAACAGATCCTCAAATCTGGATTAGCCCAAAGGGTGAACCGGATAGAACACCCAAAACTCAATGCATATATGACGGGAATTAACTTATCCTTTATCTATCTTATACAAAACTCCAAAGTCTAAATTTTTTTTCAAAATATAATAACAACATTTGTAAATTTTTGTTAATATGAAAGATATAAACCTATCAAAATGTATATATAGTTAAATTGTTTAATAACTTATATCGAATGCGTAGTTTTATTAAAATTATTTGTGTAATACCCCGTATTTTTATACGTATTTTATTTAATGTATATACACTTTATACGTATTTTATTTAATATATATATTTTTTAAGGGTATTTAAATAACTCTAGCATTTTAATTATGATGTTTTAATTATTTATCCCATGTAAATTTGGAATATTTTACAAAAGGAAAAGCCGTTTAATTAATTAATTAATAGAAGTTGGGGTTTTATTTTAGGAAACTATGATTTTTAACAAGTTTTAGTAGGGAAGGGATTAGGAAAAACTAAAGGATGAAAGTTAGGGTAAAAAGGGGAGATAGAGAAGGGGTATAAATATCCCTCTTATGGGGCAAATCGACTTTGCCCAGAGTGGAGAAAACCCAAGGTAAACTTCTCTCTCTCTCCTCCTTAATTTTCTTTCTTTTTCTTTTCCCCTTCCCCTTATTTTTTTTCGGCTGCCCCTTTTCCCCCACCACTGCCAGCCGCCGGCAGCTGGTGGCCGCCATTGCCAGCAGCGCACGCCGCCGGCAGCAGGTGGCCACCGCCGCTTCCAGCAGCCGGCAGCCGGTGGCTGCCGTTTTTCTCCCCCCTCTTTTTACCCCTTTTTCGAGTATAATAATTAAAAAAAAAACTTAGCTTTCTTATTTTAATTTAATCTATGCTTAGATCTAATTATAAATTATGAGTTTGGAGGTTTAATTTTGATGTTTGGTTATTGTAATTGTGGGAATTAATTTTCAGATTTGGTTTTTAATTAAAAAGCCCCAATTTTTGAAACCCTAGGTTCTTGTTTCATGATTTATTGAAAGATTATGATGTGTAATAGAGTAGGCCTTTGTTTTAAGTGTTTTAAAACCAAATTACAACAAGTTTTAAGTAAAATAAAGTGCTGGAATTTTATGTAGAACACTTGATATTGGGTTTCTTGAAGAAATTTTAATTACCCATTAATTGGGACTTGATTTATGGTGTTTTAATATAATTTCAGCTTATTCTAATTAATTTATGAAGGGTTTTAAAATAGTATATATTGCTGGAAATTTGTTTAGAGTGGATATTAATACTCTATTATGGATTTAATGTGTAGGAGACTTTGAAGTAAGCGATTTCTGCTAGGTTTGTTTGTAATTGATTATAAGTAGAATCATGCTAAGGTTTATGTATGGAATTGTGAGTTTATGGTGTTTGTGATTGAATGGTGAAGCATGAATTATTTGTGATGGTTTATGGATTGGAAAATTGTATTTTTGGTATGTTGTGTTTGAACCACATTTTTATTTATGGCATGTTAGAAGGCATGATTAATTAAACTACATGTTTAATTATGTTTGGATTATTGAAAAGGAATTTTATTATGGTTCAAATAATTTTTATTGATGCTTTAAGCACGAGGAAGAAGCTACATAAGTGTCTAGGTACACAAGGAATAAATTGTATGTTGGTGCCTTTGTGCACTTAAGGTGTTTTTAACACCGAGGGATAGGATTTTTGGCGCATTATGTGTTTAAGGTGTCTTTGACACTGAGGTAAAACTAAAAAGGGTTCAACATTAAATAGTATGTGGTCACTAATTATTCAAGAATTAAATTGGTATGTTTGTTTGATTGAATAATTATTGTTGATTGATTTATTATGCTTTGAGAGTCATCACCAAGTCTAATAATATGTAAATAACGTAAAGTGAAAGAGATTACGCACCAAAACTCTTGGATCGTATATACCTTGAGTATGAACAATGGGGGGGGGGGGGTTATGGGGTTTTATATTTAGCCATAACTTCCAATGGAGTACAGGACGTTGTATATTCCTTTTTATTATTTATTATGCGCAGGAATTCCGCCACCTTTGTGTGGTTTGTCGCTGGCACAGTTAGCTCCCGTGCCAGTTAACCTCAAATTTATTTGGGGAAGGTTAATAGGTGGAAACTCGTTCGATGCGTAATCAATGCAAAATGAATTAATTAGGGTATAGTCATTGTATTGTGTTGATTGGTATTTGTAAACAGGTGCAATGAGGTAAGTGTGTGTTGATAGGTGAAAACATGTTTAGTGTGGCTATCTTACGCTTATGTACTCAGCTTTGCTGATTGTGTGTGTTTGTGTTTTGGCCATGTCTTTACCTTGGCCCTATGATGACCCATTTTTAATGGAGAGTAGTGGAAGCAAGTAGAGATAAACTTTTCAGGTATTGAAGCATGATCATGATGGGGCAAGAGTGAAGAGTGAATCCTATTAGTTTTCATTAGATTACAATGTGTTTTATGCTTTATTTATTTATGATATATTATGTGTGGACTAACATAAAGGTTTGATTTGGGAACGGTTTTTGAATAAGGGCCTTTGATGGTTCCAAGTTGTAATTTGATTTTATTTGACTTGTTCGTTTGGTTTTAAACTTTATTTTCGTTTGGTTGACTTTGGGTTGACTTATCTAATCGGTTTTAAATTTTTAGTCTTCCGCTGTGTATCTTTGATAATTGTCTTAGCTGTTTTCACGGTGGCGGTAATGTCTTAGTTTTTCCTAAATCGCATTTTTAAAAGAGTAGAATGAGTATTTAAAGAAAGGAATTTCTAGGGTGTTACAATTTGCATGTAATCATTAAATGTGTTGGATTTTGTGTAGCTATGCAATGTCCAAAACTTTAGTTGAGCGACTTTGATTTTTGTGATTGTACGGTAAAAAGATATTGACTTTGATCTTGAAACCTAATAGTCTAATAAATTCTAAATAGAAAAATTAAAACAAAAGGAAATGAAAAGTAAATGG